GATGCACGACAATACGACAGCTAAAGGCAGCTATTGTGCAGCACAGTAATAACAGTAGTGTTCAGCTGTGCATACTAATCAGTAATATATATCCTGCTTTGAAATTAGATCACTGCTTCTTCTAACTGAAGCCGAATTAATTGAAAGAACAGTATCCCAACAAATATCACTAGTTTTTGTCAGTAAAAATCTTGATTCTAATACAAATCCACTTCAAGGATAGTTATGTCACGTGCAGTCTATATTTATTAATACACGTGTAAAATTTTCTTGGCATTATGCAGAAATAATTCCTAACTGGACATATTGATTCATAACCAATAAATGCCCAGGCATGCACAAATTTGCAAATCTTTAAATTTGTAGAAATATGGAATCATGCACAACAACAACAAAGTTTAAAACCCTACATGTGCGAATTTATTCAAGTCCATCAAACTACACAGAATGTGAATGTGTGAATGCATTTATTGAATCGATAAAATATGACATTTCAGTAGGAACAGATTTCATCATATTAATTACTGATATTATTTTCAACCCCCCAAAAAAACTTATTCATTGTTAGGAATATTATTTCAACACAAATTTATTACAATATAGATATCAGGGAATCTAACACACGAAATGGTTTCTTAACATCATAAAGAAATGATAGACAGATAGAAAAATTCATAGTGGTCAAAAACTGAAAGATTGTAAAAATTCATGCAGCGAAAATGGTTTTCAACACAGTTTCACTTCTGTCTAAAATCAAAGAAAATACAATAGGAGTATGGTGATCCCAGCTAGGCAATTTTAATGAAATTCGGTCTCCTCAATGTGATGGGAAATCTCACCTATCACGCATAAATAATACACATGACACTTGATATGATTATGAGCAATAAATTGTGCTCGAAACGTCATCAGTAAATATTACTGTATAACACTGTGAGACTCTATCAAAATAAAATTTACCCATAATGGAATTACACTCTACCACAGTGCCCAAGTTTTATTCTTATATCAATATATATTTTAGACTTAGTACGACGGTTGCAGGTGGTGAGTGTATTCATAGCTTTCTGAAATACTTGTAAAAGAAGTTTAAACTTTTCTAAAACATAAAGCACATAACCTCTTTGTGAACTCTAATCACTGGTCAGTGGCTCAGGGTTACCCTGATCTCCAACCACACTTATAGTCCGGGGTTCGATTCTCTGACGGAAAACTTTTAAACCTGGCCTAGTTTACTAACTGGTAGTAAGCCAGGAAAAGATAGAAGACAGCAGGAGGCTGGCAACTCTACTGCGTAAAAAATAAACACCGAGGTTACTTAAACTTCAAAGCATAGAGTTTGAAGCCCTATATTCCACTCGGAACCCAAAGGAAGGCAAAAAATCACCAGTTGATTGTGCTTTTCCTCAGGGAGTTGTTATGTTACCTAGTAATCAAGGTCAAAAACATTTTAAAGCCTATTTAAAGTTATACAAAAGAGGACTAAAACAGTCGAACTGTGATGTGTGTGTGCTTCAATCCCTTGTACCTTTGATTTTCACTGTATGTAAGATATTGTTTGAATATGCAGTAATATAAGGGCCACCTGAACAAAAGTACAACCGCTCAGTGGTCAGCGTTCATAAATGTGCTTTTTACTAAAGTAAAGTGAAAACCTATTTCTCGATAGTTTCAGGAGGCTATGAATACATTCATTCTCTATCTAAATTGAAGTAAATCACAATAAGGAAGTATTTCTGTAAAAATTCCTGCTATTTCTCCTTATTTTTCTGAACAGTCATTGGAACTTTCAGGATCACCTTGAAGAAAAAAAAGACTAATGAGAGCAGTGAAAGCAGACAACATTTTTGATCTCTAAAGCATTTAAGAAAAGATAGTAAAATATCTAATTAGATTGAAAGAAGGAGAAATCATTATCTTGAAATTAATGATCACCTATTTCACGATCACATCAATTTATGATTTTCACTGCAGTTCATTTTTTTCATACAACAAGTTAACTTATTATTATTGTTCCCTTGGGTTCCTAGTGGAACATAGGGCTTCAACTGTACGCCTCCTTTTGTTTATGTCTTCTGCTGTACTTTTCACATGCGTCCATATTAGTCCATACTGTTTCAACTCCTCTTCACACAATCTCCTCCATGTCACCCTTGGACGTATCACTCGCCGCTTCCCTTTCGGGTTCCACTCGAGCGATGGCCTGACGCGCGATGTCACCCAGCGGCCTCCTCAGCGAGTGTCCAATCCATCTTCACTTTCTCATGCACATTTATTGGACGACTGGTTCTTGTTTTGTTTATTCCCATAGTTTCTTGTTGGTGATTCTTTCCGACCATCTGATCTTCAGTATAGAGCGAAGACAGTCGTTGATAAAGGTCTGCAACCTGTTGGAAATATTCTTTGTGACCCGCCAAGTTTCTGATCCGTATAGCAAAACTGACTTCACGTTTGTATTGAAAATCCGAATTTTGTTGTTGATGCTGAGTGACGAAGATTTCCAGATTGGTTTCAGGTTAACGAATGTGTTTCTCGCCTTCCCGATTCTCGATTTGACATCCTCGTCCGTTCCCCTCCTCCTGTAGTTGAGACAATGCTCCCTAGATAAGTGAATGAAGTAACCTCTTTCAAATCCCTCCTGTTGATGGTGATTGGCGCTGGATGTCGCTGCTGCTGTTGTGTTTGTTGGTTGGTTATTTTCATAATCTCCGTCTTGTCTATGTTCACCTGGAGTCCTGTCTTTGCTGCCAGCCTCTTCGACCAGTTTGTCGGTTTTCGCTTGTAAGTCTTCGATCTTGTGTGACATCAAACATAAATCATCCACGCGCGAAATCCAGGTCTTCTAGGTTCTTCACGTCGGTCCAGGATATCCCTGTCTTCTCGTTTCCCACTGTCTGACGCATAATTCAGTCCACCAGAATTAGGAATATCATTGGTGATAATAAGCACCCTTGTCTGACTCCTGTGTTTACTCCAAACGCCTCGCTGAGTTTTCCGTTGTGGATCACTTGACATATGCCGTTGTCGTACAGTTGTTGAATAAGGTTGATGAATATTTGGGGTACGCCGTAGTACTCGAGTAGTTTCCAAATTACTTCGCGGTCACCGCTGCGCTGTCGAAGGCCTTCTCAAAGTCTATGAAGTTGAGGTAGAGATTTGATTGTTATTCCATGCTTTGTTCGATGATAATGCGTAGAGTTGCAATTTGGTCAGAACATGATTTGCCTTTCCTGAATCCAGCTTGTTCTGGTCGGATTTCTGTATCCAGTGCGTCCTTTATTCTCTCCAGGATGATGCGACTCAGGATTTTACTTGGCGTCGACAGGAGCATGATTCCTCGCCAGTTCTTGCAGAGTTCGAAGTCGCCCTTCTTTGGTAGTTTCACAAGGTAACCTTTTCTCCAGTCAGTAGGCACTTTTTCCTCCTTCCAGACTTTTTGCAATAATGAAGTCAGAATATCTGCTATCGTCTCTGGGTCCGCTTTCAGTGCTTCAGGCGGTATTCCATCTGGTCCAGCTGCTTTTCCAGCTTTCAGAAGCTTGACTGCAATAATTTTAAAGCTCGCTTTAGCAAAGGCATATATAATAATCTATGGGATTACATGTTTAGACGGATATATTTACTAAATGAATAAAAAAATACTTTTTTTCTTGTGACCTATATAATAAACAATAATTTGTGCTTAACAGACAAATAAATATTAGTTTATGTTCACTACTACCATCATTCGTTTTCCTTATGTAAATAAAAGTGTACTTTGAGTCTGTATACTTTTTGTTTTACTTCAGTTGTTCACCTTCATTAATAAATTAGAACATCAATTTCAAGAAAAAGGCTTTCACTAGACAATAGCTGTCTAGTCCTAAGTATCGACCGAAATTTGTCGATTAATTGTAAAATACAGTCATTGAGGTAAGCAATATGGTCTGGCTGTGCGTCTAAGTTCACTTTAGTTTGATACCACATGCTAGACCTTATCATCTACTGACTGGTTCGTACACATTATCCAGCCCCACAGAATACCAGCCGTATACACGGCGGCCCGCTTAAGTCATTGAGCTACCTAAATCTTTCTATTCATCAAAATGCATCGTTTTTGCTCCATTTTTAAATTGTTCTAATGGTCTAATTACTAAAATGAGCCGCAACCCGTATTCGCGAACTATTTCAAATAAATTTCTACCTACAGCCAGAATGTTTTTGAAGGTAATAGAGAATGAACATTCTGGAGAAGCATTGAAGCACACATCGGATGGAACGACACTTTTTCAGATGATATAATATTGATTATTATATTATTCTAAGATTCTATACAAAGGTTGAATACGTCGCTATGGTGCTCATCGAAAATTTTGTATTATGTTAAAACACAATTTTTCAGAATAAAGCTATTATTATTTTATTCGAAGTCTGAATCCAGTGTAACTATTGACTCGGTTTAGAATCATGTATGGTAAATGCGACTAACTTTGGTATTACATGCATGCTTTTCTGATGACCGCCAAGATGTATTAAACCTAGATAGTTCAAAATATCTTGCCAAATGATATCGATTGTTTCCATGGTTTAAGACCCTACTGCATACGACTTATATTACTAAAGAACAGTTGGAGTAGTTGAAAACCAATGATTCATGCCTACAAGTTTTGCTAGACATTCCAATGTGTTATAGGCTGGTGAAACGCTAGGATAACGTACATTTAGAGTGAACAAAACTATCTTCACAGGGAAAAAAACAGGACTGAAACATCCGTTTCAAATGTTATTACGTCATCAGTACATTTTCATCTGAGATACTGTATTCCTTGCCACTAGTTCCAGCCCTAGAAACTTCATGACAAACCCAAAATATAAGCTTAGGAAAGTCTACCAATTTCAATCAAACAACAGACAATAAAAAATAATTTACCGAGACTGAAAATCACGCGAGGCTAATTAAAGCTTATTTTTTTTTAATCACTACATCCTAATTTGCATAAATTTACTGTGTTTGTTTCCAGACTATTGCAAATTGTGAATATTTGTTAACTAAAGCGCGTCAAGCATGTGATAATCCATCTGATCTGAGTATTTTAACTACTGATCTCATAAAACATGATGGTCTTCTGGAAACGCTTGCATCAAGATTAATCAAACGAATTCCATCTACTACAGAAGTACACATTATTGATTCATCTCAAGATACACATGCTCCGTATTCACTGAATGATAATCTGGATACAAGCGAACAATTAACAGAATCTGAAGACAATTTGGATAGAAAATCTTTGAAATTATTTTCTGGTAAAACAGACCTGGATTCTCTAAAATTAAATCAGTATAACGAGGCTAACAAACGCGTCGTTATTGGTTCAGCCCGACTGTTAAGCCAGGTATGTAGACATACATTTTTCACTTAAGTACTGTTATTTATTTTATGAATATTCAAGCTATAAGCTTTACAGATATTTTGGAAAATCTGAAGTCATAAAAGCATGACGAATGCAAAGATGTATAAGACTCTATTCTCTACGCTAAATACATTGAAAAAGACTGAGTATAAATTATTCCTTCCCATAGATGTTTTAGTTGAGTTTTCCTACCACAGTTTGGCCTTTTATTCAATATGGTGTAAATGTTTTATGTAACACTTAACGAATGAGACTATATCATCAATACGTTCGTCGTTCATCATTAGATTTCTGTATCGTACTATATCTGATGAATATGTCACCCAGCATGCGTCAGCTTGAAGATGCATGCACCAGTTGGTCTTGTCGTAAGTATGATAATAGATATCTCTCAGTCAAAAATAGAATTTAATGAGTAAGCTAACGGAAATGTCACTACTGTTCACCGTATTATACAGTAATTTGACGTTAAAAGTTGAGAACACTGTATTTCTCAGGATGCCTAGGTCCTAAATCTAAGGCATCCTAATGACCAGTATGTAAACATATTATTAAATATTCGAGTTTCTTCTCAACTAGAACATCTTTATTGAAATTCTCTATAGTATACTAATATAGAGTGAGGCAAATGGAACTGTCGCCCTTCTGTAGAAAGTTCCGCATTGAAACTGAATCAATCAAATGCGAATTTGTGTAGTATACAGTTGTATCACTGATTGTGTATTATTCCACATTTTTTCTTTTCTAGTGTGAACGAAAAAGTAATAAAATGTTTCCTGCTTACTATTAAAAACCTTATGGTAATATTATTATGTGCGTTATTTGGCAAAATGTATCAAACGGATTAGTTATACTGCTGAAAGGATAAAAAACTAAGAACCGGATTAGACAGATTAGATACTTTAAATCTGTAGAACAGAATAATTCTGTTTTCTTCTTAACACTTTTTTTTCAGTTAATGAGGTTGTAGTACTCAAAACTTTATATATGTATATATATATACCAGTATCATACTAATCCTCTAGTATCCTATAAGTTGATACCTTTTAACTCAAACTTCTTAAAAGCATTATTATTCTATATTTTAATTTACAGATCCTATCAGAAAATCACTTACTTAGTGTATTAGATGAAAAATTAACATCTCAAAAATACCCATCTGATTTTCCACATAAAAACGTATTTGACCACGTAGACAAAACTGTTATTAACAGACAAGGATACACACCGTATAGAACCTCACCGTCCTATGACAATGACTATGAAAAGTCAGCTAGTACAACTCCTACTAATACAACTGCAACAGCAGCAGCAACAACAACAAATATATCACCACCTCCATCATCAAAATTATCACTATCAAATACAATTCCACCATATGATGATGATGATCCATTACAATCCTGTGGACATGTGACTGAACTGCTAAAAAATGTTATCGGCAAATGTTGGGAATATCGTGAAGACGTAGATATTTACCGCGAATATTTAGGAATTTTAGAACGTGAGTTAACGTTTATTTTATTTTATTTTAGCACAGCGTTTACATGTTATCGAAAGTGTGGACATGAATAAAGTTTTTGGTCAAACAGAAAGTCAACTAGTAAGAAATGTCTAATGCTTAGAGATTGTTTTATATTACAACTGAATACAACGTATCAGTGCATAGTAACACCTTAAAGGCTAGAAATTGAAGTGTTATCTCTAGCTTCATTTTTTTGCATACATCATTTCTTTGAAAGGAAGTTAGAAGCAAACTACTATTAATATATATGCTAAGATACGTGTACATGAAATAGGTGTATGTTCAGTAAATAGACATAAGAACATTTTTTGTGAAGATATTTTCGCGACTATTTGTTTCTCCATAATTACTTTGTAAATTATTCATGTCAACGTCATACACATGCTATCATCGAAAGTAATTTTTTTTAAAACATTTATATGTCTCTTGCAACAAGCTATTATTGATGGATAAAATTGGTTTGAATTACCTGTAGCTTATACTTATACTTTATTGATGCAATCGAATATACATAATACTAAACCCCTAAACATGAAATACCCAATTCAATTTAGCATCTGGCGACGAGCAAAAACGGGTAGTGGGTGGGATGTGGAAACAGAATGTGAACAACATATAGGAAATAATAATAAACCCTCAGTGAAATTAGATCACAAGACGGCTAGAAATAGAAATCAACGACAGGCTGCTCATAAATATGCTTTGTATATGGTATAAATAATAAATATATTTAGTCAAGATTACTTTGAATAGATTAGGTAAAGGGGGGTTACTAATTGTTGTTTCATTTCGATTTTATTGTGCTCTGAAACAGGTGGTTTAAAACCACAGTCCACTATCCTCATTTACCTATTTCTGTTAGCTGTTTTAAACAGAGAGGTAGTTGGAAGGTCGACATACATATACTCACAAATTATGCGGCTTCATGCTATTTGTTTATTTTCGTATAGTGCACCTAATCTTTCTATTACATTCTCGCGTATTTTTCCTCAACTTCTTGTTCAAGACACTGATAACACAAGCTATTCAAACTATTACCTAAATTATGAAATAAAATTTACTCATTTTTATTATGAAAAGTTTATATGAGGTCAGAAATATGCACTGCACTTTTTCAACAAAAACTTATTTCTACACTTGAGTTCTTGCTTAGTTATTGACTATACGATAAGGCATTTCTTTTTCTCCTAACTCTAAATATCCCCTTTTTACGCGATTAAAACTTATATCCTTGATATAATTGGAAATTTGCAAATCACTTAATTCGATATTGTGCAAACCGAAAGATCCAACAGAAAAAGGAGATAAAATTAATACCATTTACAAAATAAATTGTATGAACTGTAACAAGCATTACATTGGCCGAAGTGGGCGTCCCCTTCGAGTCAGAATCCAGAAAAATAAATGAGAAGTGAAAAGACACGATATATATTCTTTCATATCAATGCATATAGACAATTATGGTCATCAGTTTGATTGGGATAATGTCGAAATCTTAAACAGAGGAAACACCAAAAGTGCCAGGGAATTCCTAGAAGCCTGGTACTCAAACGAATATGCAGTTAACAAACATGTTAATACAGACCAAATATACCAACCAATAAAAAGTAGATCATGTGACCAGAAAGTTTAAAATCCAAGTCAACAGAAAATGATCAATACCTATGTAAATATGGTTACCGGGAGACGCCATTCTATCACTCATGAAGAAATTTAAATCAGTTCACTTTACACCGAAAATTGCGCTGTATTTGTTGTCCAGAAGGACAACGAAAGCTCTGCAACTAAACCAACCAGCTCGGAGAACACTATTAATTGCAAATCATTCACCTGAGCTATAAATCTTCTCTAATATTTCATAATTGGAAATGTTCAGTTTCTAAGCATGTTGGATGTGACACTTCCTTCATTTGTTCAAACTCGTAGTCAATAAAGTACCTATACCTACCCATTTTTCATTTTTTTAGAAGAATTGGCTGGGTGATGAGAGTAGCTGTGGTAGCCTCAGATTAACATATCAATGTTGTTGTAATAAGATGATGATTAAAGTTAAAAAGAAAGCCTGTATAGCGATAGAGTTCTAGGCAGAGGATCATAATAACAGCTAAAATGTATTGATGTATTACTAACGCCTTGATGTAGCAATGTAAGTATTTCACTCTCATTCCACACGTCATTTATTTCTCCTTTGGCATACAGTTATTGGTTACTAGTGCACTTCTTCATAAGAAATACTTCACACAGCCTAGTTTATAAACTAGTATTACTGGTATTACACACTTAAATTGAAGATTAACGTAAGTGTAGAAGTTGGGCACTGTGGTAAAATTTAATTTCATGTGAGATCAGTTTATTTTGAATAACACACAGTTATTAATACTGCATCATTGTTCGTTATTTCAAATAAACTTGTCTAATATGAAATTAAACTGAAGATTAATTAAATTGACAAAATTGTACTCATAAGTATCAAAAACTTTCTCAAATATTATACAAGAGTATTTTTCTAACTATTAAACAAGAATATTGTGTTACTTCTTGTCAGTTAGCTGTGAATCATCTCCAGATCGCAATAATATGACCTATTTATGTCATTATCGTTTTAAAGCTTTATATCAGGCGATTATTTGGCATATCCATTTTTTGAAGTGGCGCCACCTTTATCCGGTGGGTATTAGAGCGTTTCAATAAACAGGCAAAATATACCAGCATGATTTCATGAAAATTCCATAATATACTTTAACCTACTGCCCCCTTTAATCGATTAAGCTGCTCAGATATCACTATCAGTCCATATTTTTTGATAAAAGTGCAATAAATGTGACGTAGTTTAATAGTATAATGCCAGTGATAACACGTACGTTAGAAAAAATTTTACTTTCGGATTAGACCACGGATTGGTACCAATCAGTGAACCACTGAGAACCAGGAATTACCAGACAACTGTTTCGTCGTAGTTTGGGACTCATTGGCAGTACGCACTCACTAGGTTTTGAAGCCAGGACCTCCTGGTTACATGGCAAGCTCGAATGCCAATCAGCCACTGGGACCCGATTCAATTGCCCAATGAGTGCTCCAAGCTAGGATGAAACAGCTGTCCAGTACTCCCTGGTTTCCAATGGTTCTCTAACTGATATCAATCCGTGGTCTAACTTGAGACAAATGGAGACAAATTCTTCAAAACTTTTGGTGGGAAATTTCACTTAAAAAACGTGAAAAACAAAACTTATCATTAAAACATCATAGTAACGGACTACGATGCTTCAATTAATAGGAATGTACAATAAAGCCACTACTTTATGCCCTTAAAAGTAGAAATCTAAATAAACTAAACGAGGTAAATAATTTGTTGGTCTTATTAAGTAAGCTATAGTAAATTCAAATCGTCTATATTTGCAGCTGAAAATGGTGACTGAAATCATTGTTGATAGGCATGTTATGCTTTATCCGATTAAAACAGTCATTCTACTCTCAATCACACTTCCGCCGGATTGACTTCTTGATTAACATAATCTATTTTTGAGTCTTTTGAGTTCGAAGTAGTTTTATTTACTATGCTTCAAAAATGTTATGTTCGCCAGGTGGGTTAAGATGACTCTTAATAACCTAATTAAAACTTACAAATTACACTGTGCAACAGGGATAAATGTCACCTTAGATCAAATAGCATTCCTGACACCTATGACTGTTGTATTCATTAAATTCAAAAATAATTTTTTATAAACTTGAAAAACATACTATTTCTAATATATACTTTTGTGAATAAGGCATTAAGAAGACAAATTTCGCGAGATGATATCATTTCGTAGTTTCTTTACAACCGCTTTACAACTAACATGGTTAACAATAATAAAATAAAATTTATCAAAGGGACTAATTGTTTCAATATACTTTTGTGTTTTATTTCTCCTGATAGCTCTATTGAAGCATACAGAAACAATGTGTAACACTGTGGTCGAACATGGTGGTCTACGTAGCTTAGTGTATGCTTGTCGTTCAAATGATCTTCCATCATTACGTCATACAGCTGTTTGCCTAATGAATTTAGCATTGTTCGGTGGAAGTGGAAGTCATAGTGAAATGATGCGTCAACATGCAATCGAGTGGTTATTTTGTTTAGCTTTTCATCAGGATGAAGTAATTAAGTATTTTGCTTGTTTAACTAGTGCTGTATTGTCTACAAATCCGTAAGTTAACCAGCTCAAGTTTTAAAATATTTACTACTCTCAATTATTTATTCACTTATTTTGTTGGGCTACAGTTGTGTCCAATGGTTTTAACTTTAATATGAGCTCTTATTTTTGCATGTGTAGATTTACATCCGGTCTCTTGTTGCATAATCTACGAGAAATACTGATTTTCATGCCCACTCAGATATTTCATGTCTCAGTGAAGATTATTAATGTCAAGATATTTCATTGTGAATAATAAATATGTACTTATCTGTGGATGCTGACTAGTGGTGGAATGAAAGATGCGCATTTTGTCCTGTTTGGGACTCGTCAGTTGAATGTACCTACAAGTGACCTAGTGGACAACCCTTTGACATTTGAAACGACTGATGCTGAATTTGAGTTCAGGTAGGAACATCATCATTCAAGGGGATTACAGGTGCACCCAGCCGGGGAATCTCAAGTAGGACAGAACGTGCATCCCGGATTCCACTGCTAGTCACCATCCACTAAATGACGTCATATTAATCCTCAGACATCACTGAAGAGCCCATACTAGGAGTCGACATGCCTGTCTAGTATGATCAATTGGCGGAAAATGCAAACAAATATGTTCACTACCCGAGGTCTCGGGAAACTGATAATGGTGAATTGTCACCAAATGCATAATATTTCCATATGTATGAAAATTAGTTGAATTGCACTGACGAGTAAAAGATGAAACTAGTGAAAACAAAATATGTATTCCTTTTTATAAATGAATAAAGTTGAAGATAAAAATCAGTGCCACTGAAACATCCAGAGAACTAACAACTGGTGCTAAAAATGTTACTTATAAGTAATGGAAAAATAATCTAAGAATTAAAAAAAAAGAATTATATGTAACAAATTTATTCACTCAGAGACTTACTGAAAATACTGATAAATTGATGATGTATGTTACATGAGAACATGCTTAGGCTTTACCTGGAAGTAAAAATGAGCAAAGTTGAAATCACTAGGTCAAAATGGTATGAAACTGAGTAAACGATACAACCGTATTAAGATTGAGAATGAACTTCTTCACCTACTGATTACCATAAGGGTAACTAATCTACCCTGCATCAGTTAAATGCTAAGATATTACATTTTGGGGAGGTCTGAAAACCAATGGCTTTCACTCTTACTAGAGTATGTTCGGAGAAAAGTGGGCTGATGGTGATGACTTCATGCCCTTATTTACTCCATTTAACTAAAAGTGCATTATTTCAAAAGATTAATAACATCCTATATTTATCTGGTAACTGACTGAATTTCCCGAATCCCCTTGTCTTGCACAAATTTAAGTAGTTCGACACCGGTACAGAAATTTTTTAAGAAATACTTGAGTAATCTTGTTATACACACTTTTTAATGACATTATGTCATAATAACTACAGTTGCAACGTATTGATTCTGCCTTATGCAAACAATGAGAAATGTATGAAACATTCGCATATCCTCTGCTGGCGATGGCGATGCTTAGCTGCACTGCTCAGTCAGTTCCACCATTAGGAAGTACTCACATATCTTGTCTGCGCCATAAACTAAGCGAATTCATAAAATTCGGAACAAAATATGTAAGCGAGTTCCAGTGTTTTTAATCAGATCTCTTAAAACTTTGTTAGACGTGAATTCGCATACACATCTTAAATACAGATCAGATACCGTAATTTGTCAACGAATTGCTACAGTGAACGTAAGTTGTGAAAGTTATCATATTAATAATTAATGAAGAAATATGTGATGATAAGAATAATGAAAACAACATGTTTAGAAGAATATCTGTTCAAGGAGGCATAGCAAACCGAAGCTTGGAAAACAAAGAAATGAGTGCCTAATAATAGAGTGAAAAGAAGGCAGATACATAGAGTCCGAATGAAGATAACAATAATAATGGCTTCATTCCAAGCAGTACATTTGATACATTGTGGAATTGTCAGCGTAATGAAGAGTCCGACAAAAAGTGGTAAGAAAAGGATTTAAACATATAATGGAGAGGGGATATAACTAGTTGTCTATCCTGAACAAAGAAAGAATAATAGCTACACCTGTGGTGACAGCTGGCTGCAAGCCAAAAATTGTAGACGGCAATTTAAGTCAGCGTTACATCCCGAATTGGGGTCATTAGAAAAAACAATAACAAAGGTTAACCTTGAGGAACTCACCAACCAATCACAGCAGACTTAAGGTGTGCAAGTACGATTCGCAGAAATATGGCTTAACTTTCTAAGAAACGGCTACAAGCAGTACAGAATAACCTTCAGCAAGAAAACAACCAATCAGAAGACGTTGCTTTTCCGCTGACAGTGATGTACATAAAAATCTATAAATATCTCTTGATCTTCTCAATAAACGACCCGTCGCCTGGCCCTTGTCTTCTATTCTTACACACTGATATTCTGTAGGATACATAGTCTAATACTGTTAGTTCAAAAGCCGATAGCTATAGCTGTATAGGTTAGACAAATGTGAAGTAGATATGGAAGATTCTATAAAATGCGCTAAACCACCTTCATGGTTTTTGTTTTGATCACCGAGTTTCCTCTGTCAACCAAGCAAAACAAAATGGAGCCTGAAATATATCCAACTTGTCCTATTTTCAGCTACGATAGGAAATATTGCAGTACATAGGATTACCTGTCTCGTTCTATGTCAAACAGACTATTTGTATTTGTGGTTATATATTTTATCAGCCACCAGTTCACTCTAATTAATATAACTAACAAATAAGTAAGACAGTCTATACTGTTAACAACTGTACTCCCTGTAATCAGACTGCATATCGATGTAGACTACTCATAACATAAATACTTACCTTGGGAAGTAGGAAATGCACCTCAGACATTCAGAATGCTACTGAAAGTTTCCCAAAGAGTATTCCTTTTTCAGTATCTTCACCTAATAGGAATATATTATCTGTTTACTCTATGTGATTGGAGGAATCTCCGTGAAATACATCCATCTTTGTGAAGTAAGAAGAATAAAATCAGAAGTATCATGAGCATATCTTTCATAAAGTTGAATGAAAATAAAGGGAAAGAACACCACTGACAAACAATAAATGTAGACTCTTAATAGGATATCTCATTATATGCTTTAAAACAAACATGAGGGTTTGAATATGACCATTTTTCTGTCTCATACCATGGTTGCATAGCCAAAATGTAGTATATGATTATTTTACTGTAACCTATGTAAACTGGAATACAAGTGACGTGTAATCTGATTACTTTCTTTCAATATGAATGACTTCATCCACACAGTGCTGATAAAAGTTAAGACAAACATCTTCTTAATATGTTGATAAACTGCTAGTTGCTTGTAGTGTAATACCAGAGTTATGCTTAAAATACGCAGTATATTAATGCTTCTAAAATAACTATATAAGGTTGTGCTGCTGAAGTTCTATGTTCCATTCAGATCGCAACAAATGAATCGAAATACGTACAATTAGTTTGTGAAATTTATTTCCCCATAAATACATTTAATACTAAGAATATTCTAATTCCTGTAGGTTCCAAGTGGAGCACAGGGCTTCAATAGCACATATCCATTTTATTCTGTTTTTGAAGTCCTCTTTAGCTTAATTCACGATTACCCATAAGCTCTCACCTTCTCTTCGCATGATTTCCTCCATGTCACCCTCGAATGTTCAACTCGCCGTCCTCCATTCGAGGACCTGGCGTGCATTATTACTCAGTGGTGTCCCCAGTGTATGTCTGACTCATCTTCACTGTCTTCAGTATACTTGCTAGGCATTGGGTTCTTGGTTGGTTCGTTGACAGAGATCCTTGCTGCTAACCCTTGTTGGTAGGCCATCTGTTTGCCAGTATGTGTCGAAGGTAGCTCTTGATAAAAGTCTGAAGCCTGATAGAAATAATTTTGGTAACACCCCAAGTTTCTGAACCATATAGAAACACTGATTGACTCGATAGTAATGCTGAAAATCCTAATCTTGTCTTTTATTCTAGGCACAACTGATTTTAGATTGATGAAGGTCTTTCTTGCTTTTCTGATTTTGCCTTTGATAACTTTATCCGTTCCACATTTAGTTGAAACAATGCTGTCTGGATAAGGGAAAGAAGTGACTTCCTTCATATTTATCCTCTGGATAATGAGTGGTGATCCTTTGGTATCTTCATCACCTGTAACTTCTCTGTTTTCACTTGAAGTTTTGTTTTCGCTGCTTCTACTGACAACATGTTGGTTTCACCTGTAAATATTCGAGTTTGTGTGACATTTGACATAAGTTGTCCTTGAAGTCCAGCGTACTCCCATCTTCTCGTTCCCCACATACAGCGTTCCGGATAATCCGGTCCACCACAATCAGGAATATCGTTGGTGATAGTGAGCAGCCTTTTCTTATTCCCGTCATCACTTCAAAGGAATCCCTGAGTTTTTCCGCTGTAAATCATGTGACACTTTGCATTTTCATATACCTGTTGAGTGAAGCTGATAAAAGTTTAGGGCACTTCGTAGTGTTGAAGCAGTTTCCACATCACTGAGAATCTTTCTCACTGAATTCTTCAAGAAACATATAAAATTTTGAGAGGTTAATGTCACTTCTTAGATTTGATTTACTTTTAGATATTGACAAATATATGTATTTGTAAACATACTTTTTAATTCTGTAAACAATTATAAATTATCTATTCTGTAATTAATGTGTCATCATTTCAACCTGTGTTCTTTATTAACAAGTGAATTAACCGCGGCTGTAAATGCCTCTGGTACACTAAACCTTGTGGTCCCCTTCGTACGCTCACATTCACCAGTTGAATTTGCTCGTAAATATTTATTTGCTGCTTTCAAGTGTTCTTGTAAGGATAGCCAACCCAATACTCCTGAAGCGCATACACCTTCATCAAGCAATAAACCAGATACTTTAAAATTTTGTTGTGAACATCAGTATACAGGTGGATCAACTGATTGGTTAAATCGTCTAGCTCCAGTTATGTTCAGCAAACAATTTGAACCCCGTGTTTTAGTCACCTTTCATTTTGCTGTTGAGGCTACATTGAAATCCGACTTGAAGTGCAGTGAGGTAAGCAGTTATTTCTATCTTGGTGAGCTAGTAATCACAGTGACTGAATACCAGTGTATTACCATATAAACCGAGTGCTATTTCTATCATAGTTAGTTATCTGTAGAAGATGTTCAGTTCAGTCTACGATTAATTTATGATTAAATTCACTGTAACTCTAAGCACTGTTCAAACAGTACTGATTTTTTCCATTAAACCAGTTTACCAGTAAAATACAAACATGTTCTTTAAAAATGAATGCTGTAACAATTTTTCTACTGAAATAAAGGCTTGCTATGATGAGAACTGTTTAGCTTAATTATGCTCTAAATGACCGGTGAACTGGAGCTAGTTAATATTTGACAATTTCACATGCCTACAATTGACTTTCATCCAATAAAGAAATCACACTTAAGTATTGATTTTGTAAGGATTTTGTTTCATTGGTTGGAATATTTCATCATGAACCGACGTCAGTAAGAGGACCATTGGAAAACCTACAGGAAGTAGTCGACCTAGTGGCCCTAGATTGGAACCCTTCAACAGTACGCACTTACCGCCACAGTTAGAACCCGGGACCTTCTGGTTATAGAACGAGTCCGTATACCATTAAGCGACTGGGACTCGATCCAATGGACGGCCCATGAATTCTAACTCCTACCAATTCACGACATTGCACGACCACTTCGCAATGTCTTCTTCGATAAGATACTGCCTCACCTTCAACCTGATGCACCCCACTGGTCACCGCTTCCCAGAAGAACCCCAGGTAACTGCCTGAATAGAGCCAGTCGCTAATAAGCATCAGATCAATTTTGAAGTATTGGTTTTGTAGGGATTTTGTGTGATTGGTTGGGGGATTTCATCATGAGCTGACGCACCAGGGTGGGTGCGTACTACTGAAGAGTTCCAAACTAGGGTGAAACAGCTGCCCAGTACTCCCAGGTTTTCCAATGGCTCTCTAACTGATGTCAGCTGATGATGAAATCCTCCAACCAAATCACACCTAGGTTTTATTTTCAAAAGTTCAAGTATCCTAGTAGTCTGAGCAAAACATGCTCATTCTTTATGTAAATTGACTAAATTGTCAACCAGTATCTAAATACCTTTGACTGTGAAATATAAATACTTTGTGTTCGTCGTGATCAATAACACGTAGTAGTAAAATAAAACCCTTGAGAAAATTATCACAAGAAATATACACTAAGTGAATTTGTAGACGATCAATTATTATTTTCTCATTGACAATTGTCTTCTGACTGGACAAAATAATACTGAGATAGTTAAATCCTTGATTTAAACCCTGTAAAACTGAAAAAATATTTTTGTTATATAAGTTAACGATTCAGAAGAATATACCGATGCAGGTTCGCTCACAGAAGTACATTATCCCAAAAACCTAAGGATTCCCGAGATTATTTAATTACAGAAAATGTTATGCAGACTAAAGTACACAGTCTAGGTTAGGAAATTCATGTCAATAAGGTTGTTGATGTCATATGGAACAGATTTCTCTTTTTAATGAAGTTTTAATGGGACATTTTAACACAATTAGTTTCATTCACACTGTATTTAGGAATAATCAAGTGTACTGTAATTGAAAATCATTATAATACCTAGTTTCTTATGTTCAAAGAGTATTTGCTGACCTCATCAGGATACCGGACACAGAACAAATTGACTTCCTGTTTTAATTTGGTCTACTTGCATAATTAAAAATAGTGGAAACTTAATAATAAAAACTCTCTGGACAGCTGGTACCACTGTAACTGTGTGCATCCATAATAATAGATATTTAGAAACGACTCATCGAAACTCCTCTTCGATCTCAACAAAACTCACAATAATCTGCATTTGTGAGATTCCAATTCGTTGGCCTAATCATATGACCTTCATCTTAAAAGGTCAAGGTTCAGCCTAGTCCTCCTGAACAAGGCAAGAAGCCACAAACACCAAAAAGAGTTCATGAAGTTCATGTGAATAGTTTGGTGTTAGAGAAATAAATTGTATTAATACATATCATATTATTTTATATTCGTATATGTTTCGCCTCAAAATTATGTTCGGTGGAACTGAAACAGCATACTGTTTACGTCACACACACATTAATTAACGCATCCTGATTAATATCTAATATAAAACACCAAAACAACAACTATTTGCTTAGTGATATGATAATTTGTAAAGTGTAAATTAGACAATCAACTTCCTTTTATCAAGTCTCTATTTACCTACTTCCAAATGAATCTATCGCTTGTTTTCTCACTTACAAGGTTCTTTATGAAGCAAATATTATCGAAAAGTTACGCAGTGTTGTGTGTAGTTCGACCTTTATGGAATCAAAATTTGCTGCAATGGCTCTGCATATTCTCGGTGAAGATATTCCCTGTATGCTCCCAGCTCAAGTACCACTTTGGGACTATGATGAAGTTGAATGCTGGTTGTCTCGGGTCAGCTGATACATATTGCATTTTTATTATTCATTAAATATTTTATTTGTTTCTAGTCTTATATCTGAATTATTAATAAATTAACATGATTTATAACTGTATCACTATTATACACGATAGATTGACTGCAAACAGCGTTTCAATTCGTATTATTAATGATATGAATCTGATTTAAGTTATTTGTTTTTTTCCCACTGTCATTTCCTTATAAACCCCTATGCCATAATGTTTATTGTCATCATATGATATTGACTTAATACATCTGAAAAGAAAAACTTGCAACAGAAGGTGAAGACAAAATAGAAAATGATAAAATGACTGGAAAGGAATGGTGACAACTTGATTAGGATTAATAAAGCTAAAGTAATATGTTATAATGTTGTCCAGTCTAATTTCCAGTTAAATCAAAAGAATATCATGAAGAAATCACTTTATATTTGTTACTGATAAGCACGAATAAATAAACAAGCTAAGAAAATATGTACATGTGATGACCTATCAGAAATGTATCGCAGTTGGGTGTAAAAAAGGAGGTGAGCAGTCGTTAATCAGAACACCATAGAAGCGTAAATATTAGGATTATCGCGTTTGTGCACTTATTTTTACATTAATTCATATACGGAAAACAGTTTGGTCTCATGTTGTTACTAGATTTTGAAGTCTTGTTCTACTAAAGTAACCTCTACAAGTTTACTAGCAGTGGGCCTAGCAACCCAATCCGGGGAAATCACCTCAGTCTCTACAGAAACTGTAATGTACAGAGGGAGAATGACGTGGGCTAGTGAAAGACTTTGGGAAGCTAGTCAGACAGTGTGTCTCCTTTTGATGAAAGTAAAAATAAGCAAGAGGATATAATATGCATGCACAATATTTGAAGTTAGGAAGGCTGCTAGGACCTGCCAAAGGGATGAGAAGATACGACACAGAATTGCTACGAGTTTGTGAGAGCAGGTGTAATAGAAGTGGACTAGCCAATTTTTTGACTGGAAAGACAATAATCTGCTCCGGTCATCCAGACGATAACTACAGTCACACCAAAAGAGTGACTGTCACAATGTTACCAACAACAGTCAAAGCTTTTATGCAGTAAGAACCGATTTCCTCCAGGATAATGGCAGCTCAAATTTATAGATCTCTTCAAGGAAATAAATGAATAATGGACGTTACACAATAAGAATGTTTCATCTCACTAAAAATATCTTAATTCATTAATTAAAAAAATTTGAGTAGAGAATTTCTGTCAAAAATAAACACGCTTGACTTAAGAGATTTGAAAATGTCATTATTTGTTGTAAATTCGTCAAAATTTTCATTAAAATATGCTAATTTTGTAGGTGTTTTTTTAGGGAGTAAAAGTTTTCCTCAGATTCTGATGTTTTATTAGCATAGAAATATTTTATATTCTCTTCAATGTAAATCATTATTTACTCACTCTCACGTAATAGAAGAAAAAAGTATGATTGAAAAATTGATAACTTTCGTCTGTCTTATTCAAATGAAATTTTGAGGAGTTAAGGATTAAACTATAAATAAGTAGTAATTATTATGTCCATAATTATAAATAGTTTACGTCAGTATTTTTAAGTGTTGCTGTAGTAGTTCCCAACCACTCTATATCCTTATGTAAAATTGTAAACTTACAATTCTCAACTGTGATATTGATTGGGATTATTAGAAATTAAGTCTACTCAGCCATATAAATATATAAATACTTCAGGTGAACATACAGAAGACGGAGGTGATGAAGATAACCAACCAACCAACAGCAACAAAAATAACAACAACCAGCACCAACCACCATCAGTGGGAGAGATTTGACAGAGGTTACCTCCTTCACTTATCTAGGCAGCCAGCACGGTTTCAACCACAGGCAGTGGGAACGGATGAAGATGTCAATACCAGTCAGAATCGGAAAGGCAAGATACACCTTCATCAACCTGAAAACAGTTTGGAAATCTTCTGCACTAACTCAGCATATGGAACAAGATTCAGATTTTCAACACAAATGGGAAGTCAGTCAGTTCTTCTATACGGGTCAGAAAGTTGAACTGCGCGTGAGTCACGAAAAGGATTTCCAACATACCATTGCAAACTTTCATCAATAGCTGCCTTCACTGGTTTCATACTGAGGATCAAATGAATAGCCGGTCGGCCAGAAGGAATCAGTAACAAGAAACTCTGGCGATGAACAAACCAACCAGTAGCCTATCGCTCAACAAAAGTGTAGGAGAAAGTGGATATGGTTAGGGCATACGTTGAGGAGGTCATCTAATGATATAGTGCGCAGTGCAGGCCATCACTCGAGTGGAATCCAGATGGGAAGCGACGAGTGGTTGTTGGTGCAAGGGTGACATGGAGGAGATCATATGTGGAGAATATGAGCGATTATGGACAATCGTGAGCCCAGATGAAGAGGACGGTGGGAATTAGGACGAAGTGGAGATGTGTTGTTGAAGCCCTATTTTCCACTCGGAATCCTAGGGAATAATAAATAAAGTTAAATTAAACTTTAAAAAAATAAAAAGACGTAATTCATCTGACGTGTATCGTGTATTGGTGCAACATTTTTTGAAAATTCTGATCTTAGATCCACATATATATCTCACATATGCATGAATGGTTAAAAGTGCATCACCATAGGTCAAAGTAGTAATTTAATGTTCAAAATCAGAGAAAAAAGCGTAAATATTACTATGTAAATAAGTGTCAGATTGAAATACTATTACAAAGACAAGCTCAGTTTATTAACAAATAATCTTTGAACACATAAAACGGCTTTTTTATGGTAAACGCTTCAACAAATTTAGGTATATAACACAAATATGCTTTACATATGGATTCAAAAGCAGTTTTAAAACTAACTTTATGACCCATCCCAATGATGCGCTTTGCAATAACTAACGTCAGGTATACATTTCCAGTTAAGCGATTTCATTTACCCTTGAAGCCATTGATAAATCTGCTCCTCAGCCTTAACCTGCAAAGACTGACAGGTCCTCCCAATGTATCTGAAATCATAGATACGTAAAAATTGGTTTATGTAATGATATGTGACACTGTTGTTTAAATGCTGTGAGGGTTTACAGAACAACATTAATTTCGTCTTCCGTATAAAAATTAGCCTAACCCCATAGTGACTTTCAAAGACTGTTACTATGAGTGTTTGTTAATTGACCAGCCTTTGATACTCACTTTTAACTTTGAAAATAGATGCCTAACGTCTTTTGTTGCAAAGCACCGTATTAAGACAGGTTATAGAGTCGATTACGTTCTTTTATTGTTTTGTAGAAATTCATAAACTGAACTAAATTTAAACTAAGTCATCTGACTATGTTATGTCTTTTTAACTTATTTAAATTTGCATTATAATCATAATTTACTTTACTTTCATCATTTAATGTCATACTAAATCATTGATCTATCAGTTAGTAGTTTGAATTTCGGTGATGTACAAGGTTTTCTTAAAAATTTAAGCGTGTACAACCTTTGGAAATCCTCTGTTTGTAGTTTAATCTATTTTTAATTAGGCATACTATTCCTTAATTTCTTTTTTTCTGATCTGTTAACAACAAACAAACTGTAGTACAAAATATGTAATCAATAGGATTGTATATCTTGATAAAACTTCATAGCATTCATTGAACTATTCATGAAAACGTGTAGGATGTTATTTTTCATTTTCATTTTAATATTCATTACCAGAAATGCAATGCCAATTGTTACCACATAAGACTGTGTTTTCATATTGTGTATTTGTTTTAAACTCATTCATTAAAATTCATTTGGTTAAATTAGCTAGTTTATTTTACAAAAACGTTTACCAAAGACTTGATATGTTTACTTGGCTACTTTCTTAGGCTTTTCTCTCAGGCATCATTTATGATTAAACTGCCAATCATTCACGAGTAACTATGACAGTTGAAACAGTTCAATCTTTCTTTTGGGCAGAATATTTTATTCCTCTTCTGAAAATCGTTCGCATTGTAAGCTTGTGATCATTGTATAGATATGTTTTCAGTAAGAAAAGTAAAGATAGAAGAATCGCAAGCATCGATATTGTCTTATATGATAATCAGACAGAATTATTTGTCAAGACCGATCACGTGATTGTTCAAATCAAAGTAGTACTACAGCAATGAATTTTCATAGGCTTAAATTAATTCGGAGGTTTGTAGCAATCTTAGTTATTTGTTGTGTATCTTTGTAATGAGTCTTTATCAAGAACATTCAAAGGTATTCATTATGACGAGATTGTAACAGCATTAAGAAAAATTATTTACAAAAGGTATATTTAATAGTGTGAAATATTCTCATATAGAAAATCAAAACAAATGATTCAGCAAAGAGACTCTTCTCAACGAATTTATCATCAAGCTGTACAATCGTATATATATGGTTTTTTAAGAAGTTATATCCGGTGAGGGAATTGAAACATAGGTGTGAATGCATGAAATAATAATAATAGTAGTATGAAATGCAATTAAAACTAAAATGTTTGTGATTATAATCGTAGTTAAATGTCAAGTGGCAAAGCAAATTAATGTCATATATAGAATAATTCATAGGATGGATAGAACTTGAAAAAGGTGTGCAATTATAAGATTAGTAGACAAATCGTATTCGACGCATATGTAGCCCTGATACAGTGGAAGATGAGTTATACATCTTGAGGAAAATCCTAATAGAAAATGGATTTCCACCACGTTTTATAGATAAGAATATTCATTCAAATCCTAAAAAACGTGAGTTATCGACCGTACCCAAGAAGATACTTTACATGAGCTTGGAATTCAAAGGGGACTTAGCTTCCGATATCATGAAACGGAGGATATCACAATCCCTGAAAAGAACATTCCCTGCTGCATCCCTGAGAATAGCATTTTCTAGTCGACCATTATTGTTCAATAACCTGAAGGACAAGATCCCGCTGTTGACCAACTCTATGTGTGTTTATCAATTCACCTGCTCGTGTGGAGCTAGGTATATCGGTCGTTCAACACGAGTTTCATCCAAGAGGGTGCAAGAACACTATCCTGCATGGTTACGAAAAGGTGGTAGTGGAGCAATAAGAAGCGCGATCATTGAACACCTGGTCGATAATGATCACCCTATCTCTATAGCCTCCACCTTCAAAGTCATCTACAAGGCAAAGAGTAATCTACCCAAATCCCTACGTACCCGACTCATCTGTATTGCTGAAGCTTTGGCTATCGAAACAGAAAAGCCAGATCTCTGTTTACAGAAAAAGTTCGTTCAACCCCTCCAACTTTCATGGTCTTAATCCCTCTATGCTAAAGTATGGTAATCCCCAATCATATTTTAGCTCTACCAATTCTTCATTTTTTCATTTTTGTCTATTCAATTTGTATACTCTTCCTTATTAAGTCAATTGTTACTATTACTACTCTCACTTTTAATTGTCCCCGGTATTATTTCACTTGTTCCACTTGTCATTCTAAATCAATTCCTTTATGCAACATTAAATTCTATGCTATTAAATTTCACACAATATTACGTAACGTTTTTTATTTTTTCGATTTGTCTACTAATCTTATAATTGCACACCTTTTTCAAGTTCTATCCATCCTATGAATTATTCTATATATGACATTAATTTGCTTTGCCACTTGACATTTAACTACGATTATAATCACAAACATTTTAGTTTTAATTGCATTTCATACTACTATTATTATTATTTCATGCATTCACACCTATGTTTCAATTCCCTCACCGGATATAACTTCTTAAAAAACCATATATATACGATTGTACAGCTTGATGATAAATTCGTTGAGAAGAGTCTCTTTGCTGAATCATTTGTTTTGATTTTCTATATGTTACAATGGGAATTTTCCATGATTTAAAAAATATTCTCATATCATGAATTAAAAGTCAGTCTGAATGAAGAATATTCTTTTCAATAATTTCTCTTCAGGTTTCAACAATTATACAATCCAATATTTGTTGTCCTTACAATAATGGATGTTTAGGTGACGGATACATTTTTAACGTAGAATAACAGAATAGTTTATGGGGTGACAAAATAAATGGTACTCGTGTGACAAACGTGCTAGGCTGAATTCAATCACAAAATATTGTGAAATGGGAGGCAATGGTGGTGATTAGTCATAATAGATAGTTTCGTGGAATGTGGAGTAGGAAATATTAACAAGTCAGTTCAAGGTTATAAAAGGTGTCAGCTGAGTGGCTAGTGCAAAGTAGTACGTATTAAAAAGAGGATGGTAAGACTTCAATGAGAACTTCATCATGAAATAACCATTGTGTGAAATGAAACACATGGAGGCGTGTATTGAGAAAAGAGATGAATCACTAATAATAAGTCCTGATATTATCAGTGGAAAATTCGATAGTATTGAGAGAATGTTTGAATGAAGGATATAATTTATAACAAATAATAATAACTGTAAAATTAAGCAAAGCAAAAGAAAACCAAGAGGGATTAGCGTGAGAAGAAGAAAAACTAATCCAAGTTTGGCCACAGTATCTCAACGTGTTGCTTTTGGATTCAAAGTACCGGTTTAGTCAGTCTTATTGCAACAGCTTCAGCTATGTGTAGGAGATGTAAGCAAACTGTACCTGATAACGACTTCGGAAATTGGTATATAGCCCTAAAGGCTGTGTTGACTTCGATGCGATGTCCAGTATCGACCAAGTGTGACAGAATCGAGCTTTTTATGCATTTAATCCCCCCTTGCTGAACTAAGCTGGTAAATGTTCTCGAATCCATAGAGGAACCTGTCTAATCGTATATATATATATATATATATATATATAACTTGAATCACAGGAACAGTTGAAACAGTATATTCATGAAGAAGAGCTAAGGTTGGGCAAGACATCTTTCAGTAGCTGGGTGAACATTGAATGACTATCAAATTTTCCACTGATAATATCAGGACTTATTATTAGTGATTCATCTCTTTTCTCAATACACGCCTCCATGTGTTTCATTTCACACAATGGTTATTTCATGATGAAGTTCTCATTGAAGTCTTACCATCCTCTTTTTAATATGTACTACTTTGTACTAGCCACTCAGCTGACACCTTTTATAACCTTGAACTGACTTGTTAATATTTCCTACTCCACATTCCACGAAACTATCTATTATGACTAATCACCACCATTGCCTCCCATTTCACAATATTTTGTGATTGAATTCAGCCTAGCACGTTTGTCACACGAGTACCATTTATTTTGTCATCCCATAAACTAATCTATTATTCTGCATAAAATTGTATCCGTCACCTAACCGTCCATTATTGTAACGACAACAAATACTGGATTGTATAATTGTTGAAACCTGAAGAGAAATTATTGAAAAGAATATTCTTCCTTCAGATATGACTTTAAAAGGTATATTACTTAAATATTTGTAGTTGTCTAGCATAGCCACAGGTTTACTGTTCGAAATGTCTTTCAACCCTTGTAATTTAAATAAAACATAAAATATAAGTGAAATCCAAAGCATTATTTCTCTAAATCATTCTTTGTACACAAGACAAGCTAGACAAAATAGAATTACCCTTTTAGAATTTGTTAAAAGCTGAGATATGTATTTATCGTAAATAAAAGCCATTTAGCGTAAAAAAATAAGTTGACTATTTTTCAGTGATTGTTTTACATGATATCATCCATTTACTAAACACGTATTTGGTGGCATTTATCATTTATAGTCATGCAACACCCTACAGACAAAGAAAATTTATGCTCTTCTTAAATGTCACTTTATAAAATCAAGGGAAATTGTGTATTAGATAAACTTATTTAATATAACACGCAATGACTGAGACAGCATAAACAACTGGATGACGTTTCCAGAAAAATCCATTGCACATAATCATACCAATGAATTCACATGACTTGATAACTTCATTTTCTTACAGTCTTACTCCCTGCTGTTTTTACTGCTATTTCCTTTATATCCGGGATAGGCGTTGCATCATTTCGACTGCACGTGTTTGACATTGATTTGATGAACACCTTTCTTCACCTAACTATATTACCTTTTCAATAATTATACCTTATTTCACCTTACTGTACTAATACATACGAGTGAATGCATTGCAATGGCCGAGTTTTCCTCTAGATAACTTAATTTATCGAAGTCAGTCATCCCAACTGTAGTTAAATTCCAATGTTCTGATTATCTAATCGACCCCGACCTACTTGTCTGACCTATGGGACTAATGTCACATTGGTAATTGACAAATTATATTATATTCTTTTATTAGATCTTTCAAGTCCTAAGTCGAAAAAAGTTTATCTCTGAGTGAGTTGACTGGCTTGAATGCCACCCTATTTTCAGCCATATTAAGAATCCTACGTAGGGTTTCAGATTATCCTTCCTTATATTGAATAACTATCGAAGCTTTGAATTCCTCATTATTTTCGTCATTTACATTACTACTATTGTTTTTCTTAATAGTTATCATACATTTCTGAATGACATGAGTGCGTCGGTGGTATAGCGGTTAGGACGCTCGCCGACCATGCACATGGTCTAGGGTTCGATCCCCGGCCGACGCACTCCTTTACCTCACTGAGCCAGAAATAATGCTGGTGAAGAGGAAAGGTTGGGCATGAGGCTAGCAACCCCATCCTGTAAAATAAAAGAAACACTGCTACAGAAACTTCAAGCCACTACCTTGAAGCCTTATGTTCCACTGGGGAACGTGAAGGAAAAAAAATCTGAATGACATACACAGATCAGACTAGTAGATCGGGGTCAGTTAGATTATCACAATATAGGAATTTAACTAGAAGCTGTAATTTTTTTCACATTCTGAGTGTTGTTCACAATGGTTCAAAATTTTACATTTAATTCTTAAGACTCAGAAAAATAAATATGGTTATTGACACGTGCATCTATTGTAAATTTGTTTACTGCATTGAGACATTTTATATGAGCTTCTAAGTCACGTACTTATATGAAGATCTTCAATAATATAAGTTAAATACATTTTGTCACGAATTTTCACAAAAACCCATAATTTAAATAAAAATTATAAGTTTCAGCATGATGAATATCACTGGATACAGTTGCGAAATATCTTATTTATATTTCAAGCACTACTTTGTATTCATCAGCGAAATAGTATACAAGTTGTTTGTCAAAGCTTAATCTTATATCATACTGTTTGATTTAGCGAAATCTTTAACTGATTCTTTCCCGTTCACTTATATGCTGTTTTCAAACGTTATTTTTGTCAACGACAATGAATATTCATTTATTTACTTACTGAAAAATTGTATTCATGTTTCATTTTATGTGGACATTTAGAGAGGATTTGAAGAATTAGCCAACAAGTTTTCTGGCCTACGTGTTGATGGTGATTTATTACTGAGATTAGATGAATCTATATTGGAGAAAGATTTAGGAGTTAAAAATGGAATTACACGATCTCGGTAAGTTAAAATAAAATAACCTTATTCATCATTATATCTCCTCCATATGTATTTAGATTACTACGTGAATTGTGTTCGTTAAAAATAAATGCAGACTACTCAGCTGTTGATCCAACTGGAATTTGTGCTTGGTTACGTGAAGCTACTCGTATCAGTGCATTGAATGGTACAGCTACGCCAAGAAATTCAGCTACATGTGACTATAATTTAAATGACAATAACTTCCAAAACAAGCTTTCGTGTATCAGTACATCGAATACTGCCGCACAATATTCCTATACACATGATTTATCCTGCTTAAATCAATCCTTTGATCTTCTTCAATATGCATATAACTTAATTGCTGCCGGTGTACATCGTCCTTTTCTTCCGTATTTGTCAGATAAAATGCTTTTAGAAGATTGTCATATAACGAATGGTATACATCGTAAACGTATCCTAGATGCTATACAGTGTAAGTAGAAATAATACTACTTACTAATAATAATCTCTTTCAATGTATTACTCTGATTTGTGTTTGATAATGACATTTTTTGAAAAATAACAAACAAAACAATTTCTGATTTCCTAATTAGCATTAATATAGAAGGTAAATGAACACTGTCCTATATTCAGGCTAATCAAAATATTCTAATGTATAAACTTTGAACGAGTATCATAACCAGTTTTTTCATGACATTGAAAATTTAGATGTGCTATTTGCCGTGCTTCATCAACTGGCCTATCAAAGTACATCTTTCGGTCTATTGCACTTACAAGTGGCACTGCGATATTATTTCATCTAACCAGCGTAAACTTTTAAGAGATGAGTATAAGCAGTTTATCATAAGAACATCTAATTTTCATGTGTACAAATTAAAGTCCATTCCTTAAATAACTGTTACACAGAAGGGGCCCGAAATGTTTTACTTTTGTTTATTCAATAAAGGATTTTTCAAAAGTTCAGTCGAGATTCTGACGTTTTAGTTGATAAACCCTCTATTTTCTCAAGACTGATACTGTGATGTAATAAACTGATCCCCCAAAAATGCAGGAGTATTCATAAAAATACTGATATTCGCGTAGGAATAGAGAGCACATTTCGATTAATCACTCATCTAGAAAAATAGATTTTGTATGAACTGGTTACGGGTTGTTAAATGATATAATTGTGTAGTTCAAAGTGTTTCAATTAAAGTCTTTCAGTCAACTGTCTAATGTCTTCACTAGTGTGAGCAACAACACTATCGTATACTTTAGTGTCCTTATTAGGAGAGTAGAGAACTCAGATCTTTTGCTTCACCGGTGTCTTATGAAGTTCGACACCCTAGGTTAATTCAAACAAATTTTCAACTACATGTACCTGTTTCTGTGATAACAATTATCATTCTCTTACAACGTAAGCCTTCATAAAATGATATCTGATAAAACAGTTGTAAAACAATAATATCAATGGATAATATTTTAGAACTCATAGTAACACACATGAATTTTCTGAATGCGTAGATTGACTGATTTTTTTATGCCTTAGCCTTCCCATTGGAACATAAGGCTTCAAGCTAGAGCTTTAAAGTTTCGGTAGCAGTGTTTACTTTTACGGGGTGGGGTTGCTAGCCTCATGAACAACCTTCCTCTGTACCAGTCTTATTACTGGCTTATCGAGGTAAGGGAGTGAGTCGGCCTGGGATCGAATCCGGAAACACCTGCGTGGTTGGCGAGTATTCTGCCGCTGTTCCCCCAACGCAGATTGATTGATTAAGCTCCTCGATATAGTAGCAAATAATAGCTGTTAACATTTCTCAAACTTGTTCCACAGAACACACGGCTTCAGCAGTGTGTCTCCAGTTCATTCTGTTCTCTTCACATGTTTCCAATCTTTATAATTTCTGAAGATTTTTAAACAGGTTTACTAACCTTTATTTACTTCCCCTTTTTTCACACGTATCTCAGTTCATTGTAGTTTGATTTTACTTCAATTCGTCAGTTTTCAGTGTACTATTTTGTGATTGTTGCAGTGTGCATTAATATACTTTTGTCCAAGATTTTAAGTCAATTTACTCATCTGTCTCATTAAACTGTTAACTAAAAATAACTCGTTGTTTATTAACTATTGCTTGTAATTACGCATTTTTAGGTTTACTTTTTTGTACAGTGGCTACTTGAAGGTGTATCTAAATGCTTTCAGCTGAATAATATTACATCGTGAACAGCTATTGTTTTCATTAGTTTGAAGTTTTTTTATTATTATCTATTATTACAAAACGTATTTCTCCTCTTCTAATGATCATATCTATTATTTCTTGAAATTTGTAAGATATATTTGTAATTGCACATTTCTTAATTTCACCTTTCAGCTTTCATATCAATGCACAATCAGTCACGTCTTACAGATCATGATTCTAAGTTGAGTAACCTTACACATCCCAACAAGTATATCGATGTATTCATTTCTTATCGTCGTTCTAATGGTTCTCAATTAGCAAGTCTATTAAAAGTTCATTTCCAATTGCGTGGTTATCGAGTATTTTTAGATATTGATCGGCTTACTGCTGGTAAATTTCATGAATCACTGCTTAACTCTATTCGATCATCATATAACTTTATTCTTGTTTTAACACCAAGAGCATTAGACCGATGCCTAGATGATACTCATTGTACGGATTGGATACATAAAGTGAGTAGTTATTTTGCTCTGAATATTTTGTCTGAACACAATATTCTAGTTTTCAGCAAATTTAAATTAAACGCTTTTTTACTTCATCTAAAAATAGACATTTCCCTTGTGATAAGTAGTTGTGTACCTCTTCACATCAACCAATAGTTTCCTTTTAGCCAGATCGAAGGGATCTAAACACCGGATGGTTGTGTTCGCTCGTTTAAGGTTGAGCTCATCAGTGGTGTATCCGTTTCGACGCAGATTAGAGAGCCGAATCAGTTCAAATCACATGCATTTTTGCTTTGTTTGCCATATGTTAATTACGAATTCAACTTATTGCATTGCCAGTTCTCCCAGGTAGGTAGCCAGAATGCGGATGTCTTCAACTGATTCGGGTGTCTCAGCTGGATTAAATTGAGTATATTGATGATGAGATCTCTCACAAACAACAGAAACAACTGTCCTGTGTTGCTTAGATCACTTTGATCTAACTAATAAGCACGACTGATTGACTTGACTGGTATCTAACTACTCATCCTAATCAGTCAGTAGTATATAGCGTCATACAGTTATGCTTACTTTATTGATTTTCACTTATAGTATCAAGTAGACCGCATATTATGATCTGCATAATTTCTGCTTTCAAAGGAAACTGATGATTTTCTACCTCGAATTATGTAATTTGGGAATTACGAATTTGAATAATTTTGAAAGGTCATAAATCTAATTTCAGGTATAATGTAAAAATTTTGTTTCCGCTATATACAAACACTAACTAACAAGCTTATGAAAAGCTTGTGCATAAAATAGAAATACTATCAGTGTCTAAATTTCCAAAAGCTCAGTTAAATGATATATTATTTCGGCAAAATAATAAACTGGCATAAATATGCTGCTTTTTTCAATGATATGAACTCGGCGCATGCATAAGTAATGATAGATAATCAAATAAAATAAGATTAAATTAATTCGAGGATGAATCTTAGTTAAAGTGAAGAGATCAAACGTATAAATAAATTCAGATTTCATTATCAAAGTCTAACTAACAACATTAAGTTTAATGATATACAAAAAACAAACTTTTCCAATGTTTAAAAATACCTTTCATTTCTCTAATGATTAACAAAGTTATAAATTTTTAAAAAAAAGTATGTAACATACAGGTTTTGATAAATCACAGAACACAATTTGGAACAATGTTTGTGCAACCAAATAAGGCTATTTGAATAAATAAATAGATAAATAAATGTAAGTTGAGCAAGAAAACGAACAATCGATATGAAGAAACAAAACAGACATAATTTTACATGTAGGCTTTTAGAATACTAATTGATGTTTGAAAAACATAATTTTGGAAAACATTGTTATTTATTCATTTAAACCAAATGGAAATTCGCTAAATGTTTATAATTTTGAACAAGTAAGAATTAAATTGATAAAAAGGCACCTGTCATCGTTACAACATGACGGTTTATTTCTAAGACTATGCGGAGAACGTGATTGGCAAAGGCAAAGGTAGCGTTTATCAGGACAAAGTAAAAGGAGCATTTAGAAAACCACAAACATTACATTACTTTAAAGTTGTTTTGCTTAGTGTTGACTATCAGTGGAATCCAGAATGCATATCTCTTCCTATTTTGGACTCATTAGTTGGATATGTCTTCATTTTCAGGGAATGACGGTGATTCCACTGAGACTCGTGGGCCCCTGTAGCCTAGTAGGTTGTTATATACACCTACTTTTGCCTAATTTGCCTAAAACTTTAAAATAACTATATTAAGGAGTGACCGCGCACTGGCTTGAGCCCGTTGTTTCTCTTTCTATTTGGATTGCTGGATTCCTGTTGGCTGTTAATTCCTTTAATGCATCACTGAATTACTTCACTTTCAAGGTCACTCTAACCGTATACTGACCGCAGTTTGAGACAGTAGAAGCTGTCTTATCGACGTCCAGTCTTTGCTTTTGTCTTTGCATGCCGGTGGTGTTATTGTTATTGTTTTTGACGTGCGATTAGGACAGATTAGCCAGCGCATTAAGTTATTATTCTCTCATAGTCTACTAGGTTATAGTTCCGGTCAAAACATGGATAATGCAACTACATAATAGATAAGATTATTTCAAATATCACACAGTGGTGCAGTATTAATATAACTGTATTCATAGCATTTACTAATACTCCATCACTTTATGATATTTTAAATAAACTTATATAGAATTACATTCTACCACAGTGCCCAAGTTCTACACTTACACTACTGGATAGTATTTTGGTGTTTGAAAAGATGGGTATAGCATTTGGGTTCACGAGGGATTATCACGACTCACTGAAGATGTAGGTACCTCCGGATGACGAGTCCCAAATAGGACGAAATGCTTGTTCTGGATTCCAATACTAGTCACCAACCAAAACAACTTCACGGTAATCCTCGGGAGCATCCGTAATAGGAGCCAACATATCAACAGTGACACAGCATTTCAGTCCAACATAATCAATCAACGGGAATCAACGGATCTGAAAACAAAACCACCTTACTTTCACAGTTTCCAAATACTACCACGCATTCATGTTTTGTTTGCCGTTGTCCACTGCTTACTGAATAATACTCAAATTTTCCTTTTTCTCCTCACGCTTTTCCTTTTACTGCAAATTACCATCACTTTTCCGAAGATTTCGCATGATATAAAACTTACATCCACTTATGAGTAGCGCACCATGAAGTTAGTGAATTTATTAATAAGAACATAAATAAACAACGACAACGTTTTTAAGGAAAACAAAATATGGAAAGTGGACAGCATGAATCACTGTTTTGCAGTCGCTAAACCGTGCAGGTAGAAACGGAATTTCGCCTAGGCATATTGAGTCTACTGAAGTTTTATAATGACTGTTACTTCAGAACATAAGGCCTACTGTTTGATTTTTCAAGAACTCTCGATCCCCTTAGCTTACATTCTAAGTTAATTGTGTAGTGGCAAGTTGGATAAAAATTAATGGATCTAAACTCAAGACTCAAATTCGTCAAGAAACAATCCCCAACTTTTGTTCGTTCACTGGGACATCAACCTGTCTATGTACATATAAAATGTGTTGGTTTGTAGGGATTTGATTGGTTACAGGATTTTCGTCATGAGCTGACATTAGTTAGAGAACCATTGGAAAATCTGGGAGTACTGGACAGCTGTTTCGTCCTAGTTTGGGACTCTTCATCAGTACGCACCCACCGGGATTCGAACCCAGGACCTTCTGGTTACAAGGCTAGCGAGCTCGTAAACCATTAAGCCACTGAGACCCGATCCAGTGGCGCATGAATTCTAATTTCTGCCAATTCACGACATAGCGCGATCCCTAGCCAATGTCTTCGGCGAGTATTTGTCCTCACACCCGACCTGCTGCACCCTACTGGTCACGACTTGTCACTAGAACCCCAGGTAACTACCTACCTGAATAGGGCAAATGGCAGACCACAGATATCACATCACTAATTTCTAATTTATAACATGTAAGTAAACAGTGCTAAATTATTTAGTGCCTGTAGTTTAGCAGAATCGACATTAGCGAACAACTCCACAACCGTAGAACAGACTTTATACTTTGACATATGGTGTTTTCACCTAATAGCTATTTTTGTTGATTAAATGGAAGCTGAACTCTCTAGTATTATGCATTTTATTTTGTTCTTTACTATAAATACTGAAACTCCAAAGAACAGAGTAAAACCATAAACTGAAGAAGACTAACTACTCTCATTCTTTGAGCTTCATAGTAGACTTGATAATATAGCCACTAATAATTATGGTTAAGCAGTCTTAAAATCACAAGCATAGAAACCATTACTGTCAACAGACAGATAGAGGCTTATTTTATAATAATGTAAATATCATTAACCAGTTGTTATTATACTAACTATCAATTTATTGGCGTGTTAAACCTTTATTTTATGCCTATTTTCTCTTAATACAGGAAGTTGTCTGTGCACTGAAAAGTGAGTGTAATATCATACCAATTACGGATAATTTCATTTGGCCTTCTGCTGAAACCTTACCTGAAGACTTACGACCTATAATAACCTACAATGCTGTCAAGTAAGTTTTATTGTTGACAACCAAGCGTGACTAGCTGAATCTAAAAAAGAATATTCCTCAGAGTGAAATAATTTTTAATAAATAAGCAGTATTTTAAGTTGTGTTTTTTATATTTTTTTTAAATCAGCCTTGTTTTCCTCATTTAGCACGAGTGTTCATTAATTCCATCCTTGATTAGCTCTGAAAATTCTATTCCTTTTGTATAAGTTTCAATGTGATTCAAAATGTGTTTCACTTCAGCCTTTATTCAGTGAAAAATCTGTTTCTACTTTGCATGACTTATCTTTACGATTCATATTGATTTTATTATTCTTGACAAGTTTATTTTGTCTACATTTATTTCCCTTCCATTTTACCTTGGTCTCCTTTAAACCATAGGATATAACTAGCCTTTTCATTTTATCAGTCAGAACGGATACAAAATGCTCTGTATCATTTTTCCATGTTGACAGAAACATATACTGAAATATTGCTCAGTAGTAAGTAATATTACCTAAATGTGCAATTAATAGTGTTCTCTGAGCTGGTTGGTTTGGTTGCAGAGCTTTCATCGTCCTTCTGGACACATCTTCATCGCAATAGTTAGCATAAAGTGAAATGATTTAAATTTCTTCATGAGTGATATAATTGCGTCTCCCGGTAACCATCTTAGCTCCGCAACCAAACCAACCAGCTCAGAGAACACTATTAATTGCAAATCATCCACCTGAGCTACAAATCTTCTCTATTATTACTTAAATGTACTTATGTAAACTTACCACTTGTAATACGTAATCAAGTCGCATATTTACTAAATGTAAAAATGATGTTTAATTTATTTCTAGATCAGTCAAAATTAACTATAGTGCAGAATAGAACTTATAGTATGGCTTATTAATTTGTTTCGAGTGCTGAACAATGTTGGTATAATATATTTTGATACAGCTATCTGTCACCATACTTTGAGTAGGTTAGCTGGATAGTCTGGACAAAGTTTTCGTGCTTGTTATCTCTCGTATACAACGCCTGTCTACAACCTAGATTAAATTCACTTTCCGTCTGAGAATGGGATCTGAACCGGTTAAATCCGAATACACAGACGTTGCTATCATGTGGGTATTTTGTGGATTTCTTCTCTTAAACAGCGTCTACTGAACTGTTCTCCTGCTGCTTTCACTTTTCCCGTTGCAATCGAATATATTTAAAAATTATTCCGTTGTTTTAAGCAACGATTGTTTAAAATGCGATGATTTGTAAATTGTGTTTCTTTCTGTGATAGTCGTTTGAGTTTATTCACTAATCTTCTAATAGGAAGACTATACATGCATTAACGACAAATAGAACATGACTAGCTCTCTGCAGAATAAGATTGTGTGTCTGATGATTAGTGTTAAATTAGGATTATGTAAGGAGGGATTTTAAGGTATTCAAAGTAAAATATGACACCATAAACTTATGATTATGAGCAATAGCTTGTGACCGAAACGTCATCAGTTAATATTACTGTACAACACTGTGTGATTTATCAAAAGAAAATCTCATCCACAATGGAGTTATGTTCTACCACAGTGCCCAAGTTTTATACTTATATCAATAAATTTATCTACTTTAGAGAATGTCTGCCTGGGGTCTCCGGAATACTGCATTCTCATTTACCAGTTATAGTGTTAAGGTAACATTCCTATGATAAGTTACCTACTGGTAACCACACAAACATGTTCAATGTTCTAACAAAATTAATTCCTCATTTATGATAGTTTGTGTATAATTCATTTTTCATACAGAGCCTGGTTTTCTGGGGAATAATCCATGTTAATTCATGAATAATCCCCATCCAGGCATCAATGGAAACAAAACACGTAGTTCAGCAAAGAGTCTCTTTTCGACAAAATCATTTTCTTAGCTGTACGATCGCAAATATATATGAGTTATTTTGTATGTATGTGTACACTAAGTTTCTCAAATAAAAATACAATTGGTTACGGTTATTTTAACTAAATATGTAAGATTTAGTAAGTTTTAAGTGGAGTTGCGTATTACTAAAACGGTCAAGAAAACTGTGTGTTGATGAAACTAGGGTAGTAACGAAGGGGATGAGCTGCCACAAACAGTTTTTAAAACGGAACTACGTAATAACATCAATAGTTTGATGATTGAGTTGTACTCAGGATGTACATAGAAACAAAGCAGAGAACACGAAATTACGTAGGAGTTCTAAATGAATACAAGAATAATAAGCAATGTTTATAGGATGTCTGATTTATAATAGCCTCACTATAATATATATTAAAATTGCTCACTTTTCCTGATCACATGTTTTTCTACAACTTTAGTAATATTCAGTTAAAATTAATAATTTTATCAAGGTTTCCAGCTAACTACGACTACCCTTGCTGTTTTTGAATACACTGTATTGAGTTTTAGAGAATAAAGCGGTAAAAAACAAGCCGTGCGATGATGCAGAATAATTTATGCATAGAATTATATCATCTTTTGTTGAATAGAATTAATCATAGAGATGAGATAAGAAGTGAAAACTGTGAGAGACAGAGTGTAACGTAGAACTTAATTCATTGATTATTGTTTGTCTATTCCTCAAAGGAAATCTCTTTTCAATAATTTACTTATCCAGCATTTCATGAATGCATTATTTCATTCAATAATTTATATGTTTTGTATTTTCAATATACGAATACCATATTACCTTACTGCCTCTTTGTTATGAACTTTGAAAGAAAAATCCCGTAAAATTTAACTTTATGTGTGTATACTTACAGATTTATATGTGCGTCAAAAACTGACTTTTAAGGCAAAATATATTTTTGGTTTTTTCCCAACTTGGTAAAAATTAATTTTTTCGTCTAGACTGTTTATTCCTTATGTGTGGAACATCTGGTATGCCAAAATAATTTTTTTAAGAACATGGTCTGAGTTATTTGTCATGCACCTTTCCTTCCTGTTTCTTTCTGTCTTCTATATACAAAAAAATTATTTGAAGTATATATATATATATATTCAAGTTTTGTTTTGTAGAGAGTTGATTGATTGGTTACAGGATTTCATCATGAGATGACGTCAGTTAGAGAATCACTGGAAAACCTGGGAGTACTGGCTCTATTCAGGTAGCTAGATACCTGGGATTCTAGTGGGAAATCGTGACCAGTAGGGTACAGCAGGTCGGGCGTAGGGATAAGAACTCGCCAAAGACACTGGCTAGCGGTCACGCTATGGTATGAATTGGCAGAAGTTAGAACTCATGGGCTATCTATTAGATCGGCTCCCAGTGGCTTGATGGTCTACGAGCTTGCCTTGTAACCAGGAGGTGTTGGGTTTGAACCGTGATGGTGGGCGCGTACTGCTGAAGACCCCCAAACTGGGACGAAACAGCTACCCAGTACTCCCTGCAGGTTTTCCAACGGTTCTCTAAATGATGTCAGGTCACGATGAAATCCTATATATATATACCCGAACTTTTTAGGTGAATGGGTTTTTCTATACATATATAAGTCATTATTGGCCTTACTTTTTATTTATTATTCATTAGTCACTAACTCAAATAGACTTGCCTTCTCATTCTGGTCATTTGTTTTCCTAAATGCGTTGAAATTCCCGCTTTACTTTCTATCGAAAACTGAAATAATGAGCCCTATTTTATTTGAATGATCAAATTATTTAATCACCAGTTAAGTAGGTAATAACTCGATTTTTACAGAATCTGGTTTAAGGATTTGTCATTTACATGTATAACTTGTTATGGTGGTCAAAAAGTTTACATTGTGCTAGACTGTTTTACTATGAAGAATAGAATAAATTGATACTAATATCATTTAAGATATAACAGTTCATTGGGTGTAGATCAGTAGGCAAGGAAAGCAATTCAACCAATGTAGTGGTCAGTGTTCACTGATTGAAGTGTCAGAATGTGATTTACGGACAAACCATCTTCGTACACGAGCAAAAGTAGCCGAAGTAGCTAAAGGCCGGTAAAATTGTAGAAGTGGCTGAACAAAAAGCACGTTCCTAATCCACAAAGTCAGTGAATTTTGAACTGAGCCAAAGAAGGCGGTATATGATGCCTAGTTATAGTTTTAAGGTGCCAGTACTCTTGGTATCACTGCTTTAAATCATTTGCAATGACACAATTATATCTACTCGTTGAAATCTTTGAAATTCATTGACTTTGTTAAGTTATTCTCCCTCCCTTGTTAATGTTAGTTTATTGTATCATCATTCTATCTCTGTCCTGTTTTTTAAGTTCCACTTCAAGGTCTGGAAACTCATTGATTTATATATGTTTTCTCCAAGCGAATTTCCACATTGACACGTCAGTAACCAGTTTGAGGATTTTATGAAAAAAATGTTTACTCATATCCGAGAGCCTAAGCATTGAATTAAAATGCGCAAAGCTAGTATTCGTTATAATACTTTAAAAAACTGGGGTAGTATCCTTTTCTGACGAAATGTCCTTATTTTCTGTATGATACTAAATACCATACGTATTGACTACGATATTGTTATAATAAATTTACATACTACTGGAATGCATGGAGGCTAACAATACTCAAATGCTTGAGGTCGTTTCAAGAAGACTGATTCGACTTTTTGTCAATTCAATGCTTAGGCCCTCGGATATGAGTAAACATTTTTTTCATAAAATCGTCAAACTGGTCACTGATGAGTCAATGTGGAAACTACTTCGCTACTACGGGGTGCCACCGACAATTATACATCTCATTCAACAGCTGTACGACATTGCTGCATGCCAAGTAATCCACAACGGGAAACTTACGGAATCCTTCGAAGTGAGAACGGGAGTAGGACAAGGCTGCCTACTATCGCTAATGATTTTCCTGTTTGCAGTAGACTGGATAATGCGACAAACAGCGGGCAATGAGGAAACAGGCATAAAATGGACTCACACAAAAAACTTGGAGGATCTGGACTTCGCCGATGATATATCTCTGATTTCCCACAAACTGGAAGATATGCAAGCGAAAAGCAACAAGTTGGCAGAAGGAGCA